AACTTATTGTATCAACTAGTTGCCTACATGCTATCAACATTGAATTTAACTGATATGGTTTGATCGCGTCGTTTTTAAATTTACAAACTTATCGGGCTTTAATATACAAAACCACATACGCGTATTAGAGTTTATACAAGACTACAAGAGTTCAAATCTTTATCAGACTCGCGGCCGCGCGTGGTGTTGATTATAGGATAAACAGTGACGTCGCAGAATTAATCGTATTTTCTTGCAGAATTCTATTTTTAAAGAAACCGCAATAAATTATAAAATATCAGTAAACGACTGCTATTAGGAACCGACACCAAAGTTACTTGAATTTAGCAGTAATTTAAAGTAAATATACTGCATTAAATTACATTTTTGCAGTTATGTGAACAATGACAGCAATGTGTACAACCTTCTTCTGATTTCTACTGTTCCCAACTATGACACGCTCAATATACAAATGGGTAAATCATTCCAAACTCACACGGATTATAAAACTATGAGTCCAGTGTCTGACAATCCTGAAGCATTTGTACAAAATATCAATTTCAACGAAACCACACTACACTATGTTAGATTTCTCAGTTCATACAGTTCATTCAGCATTAACTGCAAACTCGTCACTATGAATAATTTCAAAAATTTTGACTCCTAACTCCAGTGGTTCTCAAACTTCTTGGTATTGCGACGCCCTTTAAAAAATATGTTCAAGTTGCGACTCCCCGTGAAAAACGTCTTGATATCTTTCAATAAAAGACCTCTTTTGCAATGAGTTTTATTTAGGTTGTGCCGAAAAAAACTTCTGCGGTGTCAATATTAAATATCCGTTCGAGTCCACACGCAGGCGAAGTGCTATACGTCCATGTTCATAAAAGGATTAAAAATAAATGACATGCAAAACTCAAGCCTACCTAGTGTGTATGTGATGTAATAATGGGAACAGTAATAACTGTATTGACCCATGACATTAGGGAGGTCTCATATAAATAACGTTGATCGTTACAACTTTTAAATCGACAATCTTCTCCAGTTTTCAAGTGTGATTCAAACAATAATAACGAGAAGTTTGACTTTGTCTACGCACCGCAGGTTTAATTCCGCAAAAAAGGAAAAGTTTTTTCGACGCCCTAGAAAAAGTAAAACGACGCACTTGGGCGTCGCGACGCCCACTTTGAGAACCACTGCCTAACTCTAAGGAGTTTGAAAATGCCCAGGATTGGCATTGGATAATAGGACCGCTCTTACGCGGTATCGATTGAATACGAAATATAACTTTCGCCTGATTTATGCCTATTATGATGAACCGCAACCAAGTTCAGATTCCTAAGACAAAATTTAATATTTCAGGCACGAAGAAACCATAATTAATATTTTCCCGAATGGTTGTCGAAATAAATACGCGGCGTTGTGGCTCATCGTGCTAAGCGTTAGGAACACGCTCGCTACCGCGCATCTGATTACACTGCGTGGGTTCAAATCCCACGCGGGGGTTGTTATGTGCGAGAGGATTGCCTGACTCCTCGCCGCCGTAGGGTGGTTCACGTAACCGCTGGTCGGTTACGGCGTTTACCACCACCAAGTCCATGCTTCCGAAAACAAATAACTAACTAATCCCATACCCGACATTGAACTGATAACCGCACGAGAGGCCGCCATGTGGTTAAGCTGTCTTATCGGCTTTTCTCAACCCGGGATAAATATGTAAAACTATCCTATGATATTTGTCGATTCCCTTCAATTTTTTCAGCACACGATTCTTATATTTATATCCATACTACAGCTCTATGTTTCAGCATGCCTAGCCAAAGAATAATACCGGTCCTGGTGACGATGCCAACAACATTTACTTTCGAACTGGGATAAAAATGTGGCTAGCATTTCAAGTGACTCTTCTGTTACATTTAAAATTTATATATTCACTGCTATTGTTGAGCCTACATCGCGCAAAAGATGTGTAGTTTAGAAATGGCAGATAAGAATTGATATATTACGCGAAATTTTGGTTAATTTTACAAACAAGTACAAGTAGCATAGCAAGTGAAAAGTAGTATGAAACAGATCGCCATATATTTTTAAGTTACTGCTAAGTTCTAGTAACTTTGCTTTGCGGCTAATTTTTAGTAAAGGTTGTACAGTTGTATATAAAAATTATCTAGAAATCTCTAGAAATAGAATATTGCAAAAACAATTAAAATTAATTCTGCGATGTCATTGTTTATCCAGTCATTGTCTGTGTTTAATAAACGTCACGTGATGTCTGATAAAGGCGACGCGATAGAACTATCATATTACATTATTGTTTAATAATAACAGTATGAAGACAACTGATTAATGAAACAGCTTGCTATATTCTCAAGGTAGTGATATTCAAGGTGACATATCATTATTGATATAGGTTCAAATAATGAAATTAGAAAAAGTGTAAGGCAATTGTTTATATGAGAAGTGAAACAGCCTGAAATTAAAGCAATAACAAGCGAGTGTAGTGATTGTGTATACTTTCAAAAATAATATTTTTCACGCAATTTTTCTTTGTTTGAAATATCTTCCTTGATTTTAAAAATACGTTCTGTAAAACAAAAGTATAATATAAAACCAAAGTCTTGTCGATCAATTGATACATTACCACTGATATATATTTAAATTTAAAGTCGGAAAACTATGGCTAAACTACCTCATGAATGTTTTATTGGTAGCGTTGCTCTTAAATGTTATGGCAATTTCTGGCGCGTATTGACCATATTTCTATAAAGTTACATTATCCTTGGATATCTTGTCGCCCGTAAATATCGTACTGAGTTCAGCTGGACCCGACGGTCTCACAAACAATTTTCCATCTGTCATACTCGGCTAATATAGGCGTGCCTAGGGAAAGAGCATAAGGGCAGCTGTCCCGGCCAGCACGTTATAGGGTGAACTTATTGCTTAGTTTAACGATTTAATGAATAATATTACAAATATTTCACTCTTGCTCGGCTTTCAATTCATTTATTCACGTGTGCAATAACATCTATGATTTGTTTATGCCTCGAACTATTTTTGAAGTTAGGAAGAAGGGGCACCATTATCAGTAACTCGTCCCGGACCGCAGAAAAGTTGGGCCCGCCCCTAGCTGTAGGAACTCCTTCCTTTAATTAATGTCAGTGTACCCGACAGAGAAAAATGTCAGCTATGCGGAACATGGCAGTTTTTCTCAGTCACATTTCTTTCAAATTCTCCAAGTTTCGCTTAAATAATCATTTCTAGGCACGTTGCACCCTACCATACATAATCTTTATATTTAATTTATAAAGCTTCTTTTATCACTTGCGTGGTTTGGTGGTTTGTCGATTGATTTATTTAGAAACAAATTCAGAAGACGGATAAAGTAGGCCACGATCCATATATAACCTGGGGCTACTTTAACGAACTAGATACAAGCCGTATTCTACACCAGGGGTTCTCAAACTTTTGGCGTTGCGGAGCCCTTGAAAAGGTTGACTATTATTCACGGAGCCCCAAAATAAATGTTAAAATTGTTACTTTCTGATTAATATTCCTGAGTAAGTTAAACGTACTTTACTCAATTTAAATACTAAACACTTTTAATAGGGTTAATACAAGTCATAAATAAATCTAAATTTCAAAGATAAATTGTATAATATACTAAAGCTATAAATTCGACACATGACAAACATATTAATAAATTAGGGGTCGAATTTTTTCCCCTCTTGACATTTTTGGAAGACTTAAAAGGCTGCTAATAACGTGCGCGATTGCATTTTGTTACAATCGCCGATTGTTTTCGTCAGCATGGCGTGTTTTTGAACCTCAAACATCTTTACGCCGGTGTTTATTCTCCCTAAATAAAAAATTTCCTTCGGCATATGCATGTATTGTTCCACAATGACGACGATAATTGCTTTTCTTTCTCGTGGGGAATTATGAGTTCAATGTGAAAAACATGTTACCATATTATAATCATCGACGACGAAATGCTAAAAATAATAGTTAATAAGAGGTAAATCTGCAATTCAAATTTCTTGATTAAAAAGCGGCCTTCTAAAATATTAGAACTAAAACCTAAAATGGAAGATAACACTATAAGTTTTGTTTCAGCAGACTCACGTCAGAATAAAAACGCTGTTATAGACATCGAAAATCATAAAATTTGGTGTTATGTTAGGTTTTCGGTTATTCATCGTAGTAACTGCGAAATTGAAACACAGTCATTTAATTATGCGTGCGATGTACCATTTTTCCTTTCTGAAACTACCGACAGAGCCGCATGCACTAAAATAAATTTCTATCGTTCGTATTTTGCCAAGACCTTGTGATTTTTCAAACGGCGACATCTTGCTTAAAAATAATCTCGAGTGCGAAAGAACAAATAAAGTTTAACAAATCCCAAGATCGCAAAAATACGACTCCATTTTATTTATAGTTAGCAGTTTATCACGCAGTTTATGTTATTTTAGACTAGTATTTTATCATTTTAGTAATCCTAATAGTAATTTCGAATCGAATGTGAGTAACGATGAGCACAATTAAATTATTACGACAAGAGTCAAGACCCTTTAGATGCTCGCATCGGTCATGAATTGAATATTTTACGCAACAGAGATCTCGTTATCCGTTTTTTTTGAATCGTCAAGAATGTTGCGCGTAAATTTCCGATTTCAATTTTGAACCTCCTCCCTCTTAAGAATCCTGGCTGCGCTCCTGCTTATAAATAATGTCATTTTTTAATTCCGCCCCTTTGCCTTATTTCGAGGCTATATTTGTCAAATTTCATCAAAGCTAGTATTGCTTCTAGGAACAGTTTTAAATTAGCCAAGTCAGTATTTTGAAAAGTAATCGAATAGCTCGCGGAGCCCCTGGGTTACTCTCGCGGAGCCCTGGGGCTCCGTACGGAGCACTTTGAGAACCTATGTTCTACACGACGCAGATGGCCGTCAAAGCGGACAGAAAGGCGGACAGAAAGGCATAAACTACGCTAGATATAATTTTAATCTGCGAAGTGTGATAAAAAGATTTTTTTGTGTTATTGTGGCTGCCTCAAACAACCTGCCAATGAGAGTCGAATGGCATCGGTGTGTTACTGTTGTGTTGGGGAACTACCGCTATATCTTGATCAAGAGCTAAGACGTCATTTTCAAGCACGTTGCGTCGCGGACACTCTTGAAAGGCAGTCGAATAGTAAAGCTGGTATCGCTAACATTTCTGTCGCTTGATATACTCTAATAGACTTTACAGATAACTTGAATAACTTGCAACCTTGCTTTATTTATGCATTATTAATAAACAGTACAGTTACCATGCATTCTTGTCTGTCTATCGATCATAGCTGTGTCATCTGATGCAACATTTTAGCCATTTTAATTTGAATCATTGTTCTATAAAAATACATTATAAAATTCGATTATCGGTGATATCATTTCAACCTTGGAGTGTTATCCTGGCATAGAGAACTTGCTCGATGGGTTAGTCCGCATTAGCGGTATCAAGAGCAAGATTTTGTTTTTTGATAACAAATTGCCTAATTCATGGACTGTAAAAGTTTTTTGGATATTGACTTCCTTTTAATTAAAATTAACAATTGGTTGAAGCGATTTTTAGAAATTAAACACCAAATTACGAAATACACAAACTAAAGCCCAAACTTTTCTGCCTTTAGTTACTACTTTACTAACTAGAACTTCGAGATGAAAGCCTTTTTTATCATATTCTACGTCATCACTTCATCATGGTGTCAAGATGAAACTGTGTTTCACTGCTCAGCCAAACCAAAAAGACTAACGTTTAACATTGATGAACATAGCAAAGAATATCCGATTACATGCAAGTCTAATAGTACAGTTCTCAGCTGGCTTGATTTGGCATCACGAAATTTGGGTAAGTGGTTATTTGATTTGATTTACTGTTTACCAAATTATTATTTCAAGCAGGGCGTAGCCAGGGGATGGTTTTAGAGGTCGAAATCCCCAAAATGTAAAAAACCATTCAAAATGTAAAAGAATAAACGCATCTTGATGTATCATACATATCAATTTTTCGCAGCTTGGAACTTTTTTTAGACCCTCAAGAGTCACGAAAACACGCGTTTTCCGTCGTTTGTCCGGACCCGATAGCTGTTTCGATATAACAGCGGTTCCCAACATTTTTTGGTCGCGGACTAATTTCTCACCGGCGAAAACCGTTGCGGACTCAAGGTGCGTTTATTGCAACCGTACTCCATGTGAAGAAGCAATAAAACCAAACACAACGAAATTTGAACGAATTTCAAAATCGGAAATTCGCCGCAATTACGCGTACGTTAAAAGAGCCGACTTTTTTTTAGTGTAATGGCCTTTTCTGTCGCACTATATTCAATCCATGACAACGACGAGAATTTAAAATGTCTTTCTATTTTAATTGGGTTCTTTCGTTTTCGTTTATTCGAATTCAATAAATCTGAGCTGTTCGTACAACACTTACGGCGCTCCAGTACTGTACGTACCAATGTGTGGGCCTAAAGGAAAATGCCCTGGTACGTATACTACAGTATCATCCGAAATTTTGCGAATTGCAATTTCTAAAAAAGCGTTTTTAATCGGTCGCGTACAACCATAAAACAAAAGTTATGGGGTTCACCGTTTTATTTTTAATTTAAAAAATTTGGGTTTCTACCATTGACACCTACCTACTATATACTATATTGTTTGAAATCGCGAGAAACACCACGCGTGTGCTGTGTTTTCGTCGGAAATTCGCAAGTGAGTTGTGAAATCCAATCGTTTTGACCTTTCGCGTCACCTGTTACCAAATTTTCGAATAGTGAATTGCTATTCTAATAGTTGAATATTCGAATATATGCCCAGCCTTACTCAGTAACTAGTAATAATTGACTTGATTAATGTTATGTGGATAAACTTGCGTTTTATGTTTTATGTAAATTTTAACGTAAATCGTAACTTGGCTGATAGTTAATTTTGGCAAAAACGTTTGCGACTCGCAGTGAATTTCTGGCTCGTTGCGGACTCACACAAACGCTTCGCGGACTCATTTGAGACCGCGGACTCGGGTTGGGAAACACTGCGATATAACAAAGCAAAAAAAAATTTTTAGGCCTCCCCCTCCTTTGAAAATTTCTGTCTACGAACCAGATTTTAAGCATATTGTGAGTGATCGCTCAGCAAAAAATGAAGTATTTCGGTAATTATTCTTTGTTTGCGATTTTCAATGTCATATGTGCTTCATGCAGACTAATTAAATACAAACAATATTTAAAACAGCATTTAATATTTTCATTCAGATATAACAACTATCAGAACGAGACTGAATAAATTAGAAAACAAGTTTGATGAAAACATAGACCTATCTGGAAAAGGAAATTTTGGTCAGTGTTTACAATATTTCAGATACTTGCTGGTGACAATGTTCATTGCATTTCAAATTTTTATTCTGTGGCAAAAAACAGCCGACATTCATTCAATTTTTACTCAAATGCATTGAAACCTCGAGATGAAAATCTTGATAGTTTTTATTTTATTCTACTTCATAACTTTATCCCGGTGTAAAGATAAAGCAGTGTTTCACTGCTCACTCAGACTAGGTTGCACAATGTGACCCGGTTGATGAACAATGGGACAGACCATGTTTCAACATTAATGAACTTTTAAACAATAAAGAATTTCCGATTACATGCAAACCTAAAAATGCGTTGCAAACTCCTAATACTGCCATCCTGCATTCTCTCGTTTCCGGGAATATCTTAGGCAAGCATATGTTCCATACTTTCGAATTGTTGTCCTGTGATTGGACATGTCGTTATAAACTTTTCTTTGTTAAGCCATCAAAATATATTATATATTACGATATTATATAATAATGAAATCATAAAAATTCAAATTTATAATTACAATACGTTATAATTAGACCGTGTTTTTCGAAAACTTAAAGTGTTCTCAAAGATAGTAAAAATGATTTTTTTTTCCTTTTTCAGAAAGTCGTGAATCTCGCCAAAAAATTAAAGAGAAATCTTCTAAAATTACCTATCTATTGGGAGAAACGAAAGAACAGTCTACTGAGATCAAAAAGCTGAAGAAAGGTTAGTGAATAAAAAAAAGGTTCCAGTATGTTTGCACACAGAACAATTGAACCTGCAGATTGTGGCACCCACGTACAGATTGTAATCAAGAAACATTTGTACCCATGAACATTTGTACATGCATACTCTTTTGCACCCTCGGGACATTTGCACCCCCGAGCAATTGCACCCATACTTTGCACCCGCAGATTTTAGCACCCGCATATAAATTGCAATCAAAAACAACTGCGCCCATGAATAAAATTATAATGTTTGCATGTGCAGAATTAAAACGGGAGTCTGATTAGTTTCAAGAGTTAGTTTCAAGTTTCATTTTTTATTTGTGATCTAAAATCTAAATAAATAAGGCTTAAAGCAACGTCTATGGTAGGTAACCTGCTATTTCAGTGTACCGGTCTATATTTTGTTTCAAGTGTTGCTGTCGGCGATTTGAAATATATTTCTTTTATTTAGATTTGGTTGAAGTACAAGAAATTAATAGCAAGTTGTTAGAAGAATTGGATAAACAAAAGAAAACCAACGACGAAATGAAAAAAGGTAATGGCTGTTGGGTAGTATTTTACGTTATTTAATTTGATTTAAGGCAGTTTTATAAATGCGTATAAACATTCTGATAGTTCGAGCAAGTGGCAAACGAGAAGCGAGACTTACATGCTATTTTATTTTTTGCGAAATAAGTAAAAATGAATGATGAATCAATGCCGCGCTCAAATCATTCCTAAGTTAATTCATGCTTTTCGAATATGATGATGTACCGTGCTCAGATAAGCATGTCATTTTCTCTAAATTGAAGGAATGGATTTATTTCAGAAAACTCATCAAACAGACATTATCCTTCCTAAAAATTATAATTGCTTGTCATATTTATACGTTTGTTTATACAAATTATACATTCACAATATATTTCTAAAATTAGAAAGAAAGAGGATCATCTACCATATTTACAAACATCGAAATGCGTTTAGCTTTCATGTGTTAATGATATCTAACGATTTTGATTCATTAAGCAATATCCCGGATTGAACGAAAACTCGCTGTAACAAAGAAGCCTCAGAAACGCCAACCCGGATCGAGACAGATCACCCGACCAACAATAAATACCAAAACACCATTGAAACCAACTCGTTCTCAAGGTGAATTTCTATTTAAATATCATCCTATTTGTAAATGATTGACACGAGAGAGTGATTATAGGTATTTCGGCACTTCCGTAGTATGTGTACCAGGTTAGGGTTAGGCCTTAATTTCTGCATTAGATGGAGTTGAGTAATGTTAGTGAGTGATAAATGTTTTAAGATAGTCATCTGCATTACTGAAACTAGGAACAACATGGGCTTCATATGTTAGACTTTGTTCAAACACGACAGTTAAGTCGGATAATTTGATTTGAAAAATATTGAAATATTGCTACAAAGTACCTGGTGATTATTGAAGAAATAAACTGCTTAAATTAATTGATTCCTAAATATGCATATATTATCCTCCAGATAACTGCGAATTGAAAATTGGAAATGTTTGTTATTTTGCTGTGAGCCCTGGTAAAAATGGTGTCAATTACTACAAAGCAGTAGAGCTTTGTAAAAAACGTAACGCGGATGTTGGTTGGATTCGAGATGAAGAATCTTACAATGAGATTATGAAGTTTTTGAAGACGAAAATCCCAAAGGGAGATCCATGGATTCGGATATGGACAGGAATGCACTTTGATCCAATGGTTAGTGTCTTGTAAATTAGCGCTTCCAAACCGGGGGCATTGTCATTCAAGAGGGCCACAGAACAGTTGGGGGTGGGCCACAATGCTAGACACAAAATTGACCACAAACCTTCCACCGAACAAGAAAAGTCCCGGGTGGACACAGGGTATTGTTACGGTGCTCCAGAAGTATTCGTATCAATATTGAGGTAACTAATTTTGTTCGCCTACTTTACATCAAGTTGTGTGGAGAGACTGAGCCTGCGGGCAGGGGGTATATTCACTTGGCTAACACAGACAGTCCCCGACTGGTAATAGAACTAAAATAATGGAAAAATCGGAATGAAATTATGGCCTAACCCTAAATTGGTTACATTTACTCTAGGTGTACTGTTTTTACTTTGTTCAACATGAATTGATTAAACACAATGGTATTTTAAATTTACCAATAAAATAACACTATAAATAACACTGAAATAATAAACAGTTATAAATGAGTGTCAGAAGTCTCCAGAAAAGGTGCAGGTCCTTTTGTAAAAGTCAAATTGAATCATAATACTAGTCTAGCACTGAACTAAATAGAAATTTTAAAAACAGTAAGTGAACAGTGTGATAGTATCGAACAAATGGTCTAGTCCAGGGGGAGAGGGAAAAACTACGGCCCGCGGGCCAAATCTGACCCGTTGGGTCCTTCAATTTGGCCCGCATGATTCTGCCACAGCCAAAGTGAAACCAAATTTTGGTGTTTCAGCCAAATACTAGCTCAAGGAATTTGATAAACTTAGTTTTAGCACGAGGCTTATTGTTTTTTACCTTTGCTTTTGTAACACTGTAAATATTGTTCATAAAATATAACATTTACATCACACTCACATGGCCCGCCAATCTAGGTGGGCCAAATTTTTGGCCCTCGCTGTAAAAAACTTGCTCTCCCCTGGTCTAGCCGCATGGGTAGTTGTAGTTTAATTGCTAACGAATGAAAGACTGAATAAAAGTTGCCATGCGATTTACCAGGCATGAAGCCTCAAATATTATATATTTAGAATTAAAATGAAAAATGAACGGTTATTCTCTATATCGATTTCCATACATGATCTCGTGATGAACGCCATATATTCATTCTTTTTTCAGACCCGTGACGTCACACCCGCGGATTCATTCATTAAATGGTATCCAGATTTACCATCTACAGGAAATAAATATAAAGAACGGACAAATGTTCATCTTAGTGTTCAATCCAACCCGAATGATGTTTACCAAGGGATGTGGAATGTTCAGCCTGACTGGGAGAATAATGGAGTTCTTTGTGAGAGCCAGACGTAACGTCTCACTGTTGCATTTGGTCTCTCTTAAGCTGTTCTGAAGTACAATATTGACTTCTATATTGACTAATATCATTGAATTCTAACTTTAAATAAATAAAAGAGCAATAATGGATAAATTATCCGATGTCAAAAACTATCTTAGAAATTGATTAAAAATACAAAAATTCTGACACACCCTTATATCTACCGCGTTTCCCTGAAAATAAGATCTAGCCTGAATTTTGAAATGATATCATTATAAGCCCTCCTCTTAAAATAAGACTCAATTGACAGTGCATTATTTTTTTGACCTGGTCGATGGCAAGGAATCTCTTCTACGCGTTTCAAATTATTGATTATTTGTGTTTAGCACTCATTTTAAATAAAAACGTGTTACTTAAAAGGAAATGGATATCGATTTTCATATTTTGTATATTTTCGAAATCTCCTAATTCTCTACTTTGTAATTTTGTTTTCGATAAATGAGAATAAAAGACATCCCCTCAAAATAAGCCCAAGTGTTGTTTTTAGGAAGAAAATTGAAATAAGACTCTGTCTTGTGTTCGGGGAAACACGGTGTATACCCATTAAAATTATTTGTGATGTTGTTTTGTATAACTGATCTAATTTCTTTGATTTCCTAAAGTATTATTTTATGTGAAATTTAGAGATCTGTGTGCTACATTTGCGTTATTATAGAGTTTCAATGACTTGAAATAAATTCAGCTTCTATGTATTATTTTTCTTATTTCGTGGTTTGTTCAGAAACTTTGGAAAACAACATATATTTAATTTCAAGTTTTCCTCTGCACACAATGGGTCCATGGTTTCACCAATTATTCTCTTTGTTGGACTATCCGACATGTGTTTCGCCGTACGAACGTCGTATGACCGTGCGATACAACTTTCATGGCCACATATGACAAAACACTGTGGATGACACACATATTTATTGTAAACGTTAGTTTATAACGTTTGTTAACGAATATTGATAATATTGTTAACGAAACGACCTCGTATTAGAAGGTTGGGTACTGTCGTAGTACGTGTACCAGGTTAGGGTTAGACCATAATTTTGTTCGGATTTTTTTTTATTTTAGTTCTATTACGAGTTTGGGACTGTCTGTGTTAGCCAAATGAATATACCCCCTGCCCATAGATTTTAGTCCCTTTACACAACTTGATGTAAAGTAGTGAAACAAAATTAATATTGCATTATTGGTACACATACTTCTGGAGCGACAAAAATTGATGTACACTTAGCCATCGTTGTTCACACAAGTCGCAAAGATAGCATGCCGTCACAGCAATGATGAACTCGCCGTAAGCTTGAATCTAATGCAGTGTTTTTCAAACGGTGGGCGCGCAACCTTTTTTTAAGCGACCCAAATCAGAAATAATAAATGTTGTTTAATTTCACTAACTCACTAATCAGGTACTAACTCTATAAAACAACTTTTACATAAAACATTATTTTCTCACTTTAAAAGAAGAAATCTGCGCTGGTTTGTCATCAACGAGTTCTTAGAATAGTGGCGTGGCTCTGTGCAAAACAAATGCTGCCAAGCTTTTTTGCTGTGTTACTTTCAACGTTTAAAATTACTATCAAGCAACATTTCAATATCAAATATAAAATTGCCAATAATTAGAATAAAATGATAAGTAAGTTCGATATAAGTTTTGTCGACTAGCATGTGTTGTCTTGCCGAACACATTAAGCATATATATATATATATAGTAAGAGAGAGAGAGAGAGTGAGAGAGAGAGAGCATTGGTTCTTAAACAGTGGATCGCGCAACACAATAGGGGCGTAGACAATTTTTGAAGGGGCGTAAAGCAATTAAAATTGAAAATAATTGGTTAGATTTGATCTTGTTCGTCTTCTTTTGGATATTTACATTTCCTATTTTTGGATATCTACGTTTTATCCACGTATTTTCAACGTGTTTTTGAACAAACATACTTTCGCTTTAACTATTACTTATTTGTATCTTATTGTTAGTTATTTTGAGGAGATCGCGAGGCTTGACGAATTTTAAAAAGAGGGAGGGGCTTAAAAATTTTGAGAATTTCTACCATAGGTTACATATATTAGATATCAAGTTTGTATTCTAAAACTAATTGCAACTTTTTAAAATATAAAAATGCAAAAACAAACATTAAATCTGCCATGTCACTGATTATCCTATAATTAACGTCTTACTGTCGGGCAAAACCAATAATCAGATAAAGATAAACGCCGCGACTACGCGTACGCTTCTATAAATAAATATTCGACTGCGGTAAATTTTTAGGCGTAAAAGCGACGCGATGGAATTATAAGAGTATAGATTGTTGTATGTAGATTTCTGGTTGATAGCAAATAGCGCTAGATAATATAGACAGAAGTCATTGCATAGGAGCTGATCAGCCTTATAATAAGAAGTTCTTAGGCGTTAAGTTATTTAGTGATCTTCGTATTTATTGCTTCGTATTTATTGCAGGTCATTTTAAATTTTTAGGATTTTATTTTAAATCAACATAATCAATAAAGTCAAATTCAAATTGGAATTTTCATCAAAATTCAATACCATTATTAGTTTGAAAAAAAAATTTGCAAATTATTTAAATTTGTGCATTTTGTATATAGCATAAATAGGAAAAAACTTTTTTTGATTCAGTTACTACTTAACTACACTGAAACCTCGAGATGGAAACAACAATCATTTTTATCTTGATCTACGTCATCACTTCATCCTGGTGTCAAGATGAAACAGTGTTTCACTGCTCACTCAAGCCTGGTTGTAAGATCGCACAATGTGATCCGGTTGCTGTAGGGTGGGACAGTCCAGGTTTCAACATTGATGAACATCTGCATGACAAAGAGTTTCCGATTACATGCAAAGCTAAGAATACGGCACAGCCTCAGAATACTGTCAATCTCTTTCCTTTAGTATCGAGAAATATTTTAGGCAAGTATTTTCTTCATTCAATAATTCTAAACACTTGAAAACGAAATATCCCAATTCAGAAAATTTAGACTCTACACAGAGTCTTGATAAATAAGAACCATAATGGAAATGATTGAGTTGATGGCAATTTCGTTTTAATTTTGCCTAGTTTAAACGAATTTGATTTTAAATATTTTAAACTAAGAATATTTGTGAAAAAAAGGATTAAGCTGATAATATAAATAACTAATTTCAATTTTGTATAATTCTAAGCTGAATGAATTTTGACCTCAAAATGTCTTCAAAATGTTAAAATATTTACTAAAGACTTTGAGGTCCTTGGCTTCAGCCTTTTTTTACCCAGTTGATTTGAGTTGCCCAACATTTGAAAGCTAGAGAAGAATTGACTTAGTCACAGCTCTCTTCAATCATTATATACATTCTCAGATATCGGAAGTATCAAATCAGACTTGAAAGAACTGGAAGAAAACATCGATGATAAAATGAAAAACATTGACGGTTTTGGAAAGGACGGTTAGAATCAGACTTTTTATATAGTCAAGATTTTCTTGATAATAAATTTCTTCGTAAACATGCTTTGTGTACATTTTTTAAATATACTGGAGTTTATTGACAGAAAAAACTGACCAGAAATCTCCCGATTTTGAGTTATTTCATCTAAAAAACTAAAGTACTTGAATTTTTCACCAGAAAGTCGCAACTCTAACAACAAAATTGAAGAACAAGCAAAGGAAATTAGCAATCTTCAAACAAAAGCGATAGAGCAGTCTGAAGAAATGAAAAAACTGAAGAAAGGTTGGTCGACATATTACGATAATGGTGTATCTTGTGAAAACTTGAAACATATTAAAATATAGAAAATAAAATTATTACCTTTAATGGTGTTCACCACCAACAATAACCCGACGTCATTTAAGGGGTTGAAACTTTTTATATTGAAATTATCCCGAACGTTCTAGGTTCAATTTTATTTTTCTCGTTTTTGTTTTCCCTAATTTTAATTGCAAAATTACATTATGAATATATACAGTGCGCCCGTAATGTCCCTTCACAATTTCAATTTTGTCATGAAACCAGTTTTAAATATATCTTAACCAGTTTGTTGTTTTTAAATCAGTAATTGTTCAAGTATTTCTACTTCATTTAATACATCTGTGAGGGCCAAAACAATATAGCATATCGATAAACTCCCTTTGCCATTTTAAGAAATTTTAAGACTTTATGGACACCCTATATATACAACAAAAACTATGAAAGCAACGTTATATAGATGAAAACTGCAATTTCAGTTTGCCAGAATTGTTTTTTAAGCATTTCTTTCAGCATTCTGAATATTTGTTTTGTTAGATTTGGTCGGAGTTCAAGAAATGAATAAAGTGTTGGTAGCAGAATTGAACGGACAAAAGAAAATGAATTTTCAGACAAAGATAGGTAAAATAGACCAAATAATTTTAGCTGCTGCTATTTTATATGATCGTGTGTAGCCAGCTCCAAGTTGGGGAAAGGGCACATTTTGGGGGCCATGTTTACAAAACGACGTAAGTACTTCTAGTCCCATTCTACTTTTATATTATGTTATTCCTAACCCCACACGACTACGTCATCACATCTACGTCATTTCGGGCGATACTCTGACAAGCTCTTTGATGTGATTATGAGGTCGTACTGACGCATACGTGCCACGACAAATAGCAGTACTTATGTCGTTTAGTGAACATGCGCCCAATTTTTCGCATAATGACGTAAATAAGTTTACTCGTTCTTTTTTCTTTCGAACGAAGCTGGATAAAAGCAGCCACTGACATTTAAACAATATCTCTTCCCAGACTTTCTTCGCTCTCGAAGTTATACAGGGTATACGAGCGCGCATTTTTATCTATTTCAGTTGGTTCATTTGGTAAAAGGATTATTGCTAGCAAGTCAAAGAAAGTCAGTATATCGTTTAGGAATATAGAAAAATAATGTTTGAAAAGGCGTAAGAATTTATGTATCAATACAAATGCCGCAATTTGCATTGAAAAATGTTGAAAATTTTGTTGCGGGAGAGGAAGGCATGGTTCAGCCCCCTCGACTCACCCCTGGCCACGCCTATGTAATTATATGCTTTGTTTGAGGTATTCCAGTAACAACATTATTAAAGTACAAAGCGAAAAATGACTATCGATATTAATATTTTTATTCCAAGCCACTACTGAATGCTATTCATATTTTTAGATTTGGTTGAAATACAAGAAAAAAATAAGAAGTTGGAAAAAGAAATAAATGAACAAATAAAAACAAACAATGACATGAACGAAGGTAAAATCAATCGATAGTTTTCTGCACCCGAAGCAAGACAAGTTCAATTTACAGCATCGCATAAATAATATTTTCTACTATCTTTGTAGGAATTGAAATGCTCTAGAACAGTGGTTTCCAAACAGCGAGGCGCGCCCCACAATGGGGGCGTAGACAATTTTTTAAAGGGGCGTAACCATAATTAAATAGAAAATAGTTGTGAGACTTAATCTTGACCGCCCGTTTTTTTTTTTTGTTTTTTTTTTTTTTGAATAAAACATACTTCGCCTTACTATCTGTTATTTGTAGCTTATTGATAGCTAGTTATTTTTACGTCGGGACGCGAGACTTGACAAATTCTATGAAGAGGCGCGGCTTTCAAACTGCTCTAGAAGAGTCTATTCATCGTACTATGTTGTGGTTATAAAGTTGTATCTAATAAATCATTCGAATAATATTATATTCAGCAATATCACGAATTGAACAAAAATACGCTGCAACGGAGAGGTTTCAGCGTCTTGGACCTACAACAAGGCCGATCACCAGGGCAGCGACAACGTATCCAACAACATTGAGACCAACTCCTTCCCCAGGTAATTTTTTTCCTAAATTTCCATTCATCTTTCATTTCTATGTTACCGACATTAATACGATTAATGACATTAAAATTATTATGAAGATGACACATTAAATATTTGGGCATTCAAAATACTACAGGGTGTCCATAAATTCCCTTTACAAGTTGAATTTTGGTATGAAGTTCGTTCTAAATATATTTTAACCCGGTTTGTTGTCTTTTAATCAGTAATTGTTTAAGTAAGTTTACGTCGGCTTGTTTGATTTCAAAATATTTCAGCGTTTTTTTTAGGCGTTATCTTGTATTTCACGCTTTTTTTAGTGTTTTTGTACGTTATCGCAAGGTCTTTGGTGGGTTGTTTTTTTTTTGTGTTTTTTTAGCGGTTGTCATTAGTTTTTTTTCTGATGATTTTCAGTGTTTTCCCACGTGTTTGCAAGATTTTTGGTTGTTTTTACAGTTTCTGAGTCTCACAGTTTTTTGCACATTCAAAGATTTTAACCATTTATTGGAATTACTACCATTGCCAAAATTTCATTTTCAAATCTGCAGTTGTTAATTTTCAGAATACTGCACTATGATGTTTGGAAATATGTGTTATTTCGCTGTGATGCAAGATAAATTGGAAATCACCTACAGAGAAGCGGTGGATATTTGCAAGTATCGTAATGCAAACGTGGGTTTGCCTAAAGATGAAGAATCGTACAATGCAATTGTGAATTTCTTTAGAAAGAAAGTTCCAGCTGGAAGCCGTGAGATTTATATATGGATAAGACTTTTTGTCAATCCAAAGGTAGTAACTTATGGCTTCTCTTTTTATATGACTAGGATATTTTGGCGCTCCAGAAGTGTGTGTACCAAAATGGAGGTAACTAATTTTGTTCGCCTATTTTACATCCAGTTGTGTAAAGGGACAGAAGTCTATGGGTAGGGGGATACTCAACATAGACAGTCCCCAAACTCATAATAGAACTAAAATAAAGAAAATTTATGGTCTAATTCTAAACTGGTACACAGTACACACACTAGCGGGAGTATCGATATTTTTAGTTTTAGGTCTTACGTGGTCTTAGATGCAGTGGCCTATCTGCATCAACTTCCAATTTCCAAACAGCCAGTGGATTTCTTACAAAGTCACCTCCGCTTTATTTCACACTGCCTTGATGTTTCATATCGTTTTCATTCTGAGCTACGAAGTAGTTAGTTCGTAATTTATTTTTTATTTATGTAATTTACGTTTTTTTGCACATTATACACAAGAAGAAACTGTAGAAACTATTACCCATATTTTGTACAAAGTGATAACGAACGTTTATACCCTTTTTTGAATTCGAGTACGTTGGAAGTCATTTCAATACCATTCACATATCTAATCCACTTGTGACTACTTAAATTTTAGAGCAACAGAATGTTTAATTTATAGGGTGTCCATAAAGTCTCTGGCCCTCACAGATGTAGTAAATGAAGTAAAAACACTTAAACAATTACTGATTAAAAAACAACAAACCTGGTTAAGATATATTGAGAACTGACTTCATACCAAAATTGAAATTGTAAAGGGACTTTATGGTCATTGTTTTACAAACAACTCCCAGTAGGTCAGTAGCATGGGCATGGTGTTTTACTTGGTGGCCATGTCATTAGTCAGGCTTGAGCTTACACTAATATTCTTCAACAAATCTCTTTTTTCTCAGACTCTACGCGTCACACCTGCAAATTCCTTTCAAAAATGGCATCCAGGTTTTCCAACAATTGAATACACAAATGTTTTTCTGGGTGTTAATGCGAAAGCAAATGATCAATATCAAGGGATGAGAAATGGTGAACCTGACTGGAAGCTTGATGGAGTTATCTGTGAGATCCAGATTTGAAGAAGCATCTTCCTGTTTGTATTTTCTTTTCTGGATCTATAATCAGTAAAATGTAAATAATCGGTTTTTAATTTAAAATTTATACAATTTGTATTTTAAATAATGACTTGTCATGGCCTTGTCAATACTGGTCAAAAATTCATTAAACGCTAATTTTCACAAATTTTATTCGTCAGATTGTTTTCTCTTGCTGACTAAACTGTGTAGAATTATGCACAATATAAATATATTAAATTCGAAGATTTAAATAATTGATTCAAATTGAGTTTGAAAAATTCAGTGTTATAAATACAAACTTGCCATATTGAATCGAAATAAATTCAGCTTCTGTGTAATATTTTTGTTGTTCTCTTGAGTCTTTGAACCTATTGTAAATCGATAGAATGTCACGTGTAAACAGGAGACGAATAATAATAGCCTATTGCAGATTCAGATTCATATATTTATTTTCGTCATGCAAAACCAATATACGATATGAAATAAATCAAAAGTACATATATAACAGAGTACAAAAACGAATATCGGCATGTTGCAATAGACGAGGGATCGCGAAAGACTTATAGAGTCATCCAGTCAACGACACCTTGTAGCTGCATTGAAGCAGCAGATATAGGCCTAGCAACCGAACAACTCAATATTAAACATTTACTTAACTTGACACAATCATATAAAAAAGGACAACAAAAAGAATACCAAATAAACTGCAGATGCCACAATGACTTTGGAACATTACCTAAACATTCACTTAATGTAGTTCAATTTTTTTTAACACAGTGACAAAAAAGTTTTTTTAGTAACAATTTTTTGTCACTGTGTTATTTTTGCAATGAAATTGAACTAAGGCATCACCATTTTACTTCAACGAGTGTTTTTCTTCCATATTTTTGTAGGAAAAGCACTGTTTTGATACACATACCATAGCCATGCATTCCATCCTATCAAAGTGTATTTAATAATTGGGACCCACGAGTATTTGTGTTTGACGCCCGAACGATAACCGTTCGTGTATTTTTTATTTTGAATATATATATGTTTGTGTGTTGAATGTGGGTAAACTGGCGCATGTATATTTCCATGTAAAACTTTATAGGTTTTGCCAGTTTCCCCGATTTTCCCAATCTTCTGTGTGTTCATTGTTTGTGTTTTGTGTACGATTTTTTTGTGAGAAAATCAAAATATACTTATATTTAATTAGACTCAGTCATACAGAAAGGAACAACAAAGTTTCAAAAAAAAAATACAGGATGCCATGAGAACTATGGGATATTAGACATTTATCTAATTAAAGTCAGTCATACAAAGTAAGAACATCATGAAATTCGGAATAAACCGCGAGATACAACAATGATTATGGCGTATTAGATGGCCCAACAGCGACATCTGTAAACAGGATATAATTGCTTCAATACCTCAACGCGTTCTACATATATAAAAGAGGTTAAAACCGATTTAATGTGATGCTGATGATAGTTTATTAGTTTTGATATCGGTAATCCGATTAGAATCTGCTGTAGATTGAGAAATTGTCAGATGTAAAGTTATTTGAATATTTGAGAGTTTTGCTATAATCGCGTTACTTTTAGGATATTTTTGCGCTAAGTTTAATAATAAAGAACAAAACGACAGTAAAAGAATACATTGCAGCCATTGCTTCGATCAAAGTACAGCAATTTCTATAAATTACGAAGAGATCGCCACACACAATTTTGAAGCGTATCACAAAGAGGACACATAGTTTTTAAATAGATAAAAGTAATAACCTTCGAACGAAAAATTCAATCTTTCACCACTGAAAGTTTCAAAGCAATTGATCCAGTAGTTAATAGGAAAAGCAATTTTTAATACCAAGGAAAAAAATAGAAAAAGACCTTTAACCTTGAACGTGAACGCGTTTATTACGTTATAAACTTATTTTTTAGGTTTTGTTCATTTTTAAGGTTCTTCGCCTTTCTCTTTCTTGTTTATTGCTTTATTTTTTGCAAATGAATCAAAAATGTAATTCGTCTATCTGATCTTCTTGGCGCAGCGGTGTGGATTGCTGGACTCCTCGCCGCCGTAAGGTGGTTCACGTAATCGTTGGTCCTTCACCATCAAGTCCATGCTTCCGAAAACAAATTACTAACTAATCTCATACCCGACCTGCACTGGTAACCGGACGAGAGCCGTGATTCGCCATACGGTTAGCCGTCCTATTGGTTTTTCTCTCCCCCGGGATAAATATCCAAATCCCATCTTCAAAGATAAAAATCATTCAACCATAAGAAAAATATTCGCTGTAGCAACCTTTTTTCCCGGACTTTTCAATTTGTTATCTGCTCTTTCTTTTTAGATTTTCATTTCAGTGGCCTGCGCTCTTCTTGTTGGCTGCCTTTTACGTAATAGTTTCCAAATATTGTCAGTCGCATTTTTATTTACAAACGTTTTATTTATTGTGAAGTTGAAGCCTCAAAATGATGTCGTCACATTCAAGAATTCTTGCCAATTTGAGTTCCAAAGAAAACATGTCACCTCGGAGAAAGGTGGGTTCTGTAAGTTAAGTTAGTTGTAGACTAGATTGATCTAAATTTACAGTGCCAGCGCATGAGCACGTACGTGTATAGCAGTACCTGTACCTTATGCAGGTATGGCACAGACTGCAGTCCAATACCACTGCGGTACCGGTACTGTGTGAGTACGACACACTGTACAGATCGAGAGACATTGTCTCGTTTTAAAGAATCCTGTTTCGCCGATGAACAAATGCCCCTCCTTTCGAGGACGTCTGGAAATTATTGTCTCTCAATATTGGTAAAAATGCAGTAAAATGGAGTTGCGCAAAAAACTACAAAGAAGCACAATCTAAAAACGTCATCATTGAATTTCTCTGGAAAAAAATAATCCGATTTACCAAAGGAAAAAATTTTCACTGTGGCATTCTGGCATTTGAGAGTTTCTAGCAAAAAACAGCAATTTTGGTCATGTGTCAGCCGGGATAAATTTAGATTATTATCGAGACAAGCATGACGCATCTGCCGTTGTGCCAGGCATCCCTCGTTTGTGAGACACATGGAGTGTTTGTTTTTTTGAACCAAATGACAGAACATTCTTGGATTTTGGATAGTGTGCCGTACTGTCAGACTGTTACGGAGTTGGTTGACACTGGTACTAATTCATACCACTTCTTTTTCTTTTTGACAAAACCTTCCATCCTATATTCTGTACGTTTCAAACCTCATTCAAGGTTTTGTTTGCTCTCCTGATTTTATAATTCGTTTTTATTTATTTGTTTTCATCAATCATTTTATCGCCTTTTATGCTGATTATGTAGTCGAACTCAACTTAACTTATATTATCTATCTTATGATCGATGAATACAGAATAATATATACCTACCAGTTGCCAGTAGAAACCCTAATATCATGATATTGTCATTTCTGCTATAATATTACAAGGGTACTGTTTGATATTCTATTATATATATATTTTTTCAGGGGCTCCCGAAGTATGCGAACCAAGATGGCGGACATCGGAATGTAATATGTGTACTAGGTTAGGGTTAGGCCATAATTTTAGGTATAAATACTACGGGAGGCTCTTGGCTAGTCTTCGAACTGATAATAGGACTAAAATAAGGAAAATTGGAAAGAAATTATTGCCTAACCCTGCCTGTTACCCATGTTACGTTCCGATGTCCGCCTTCTTGGTTCGCATACTTCGGGAGCACCTTTTTTCATATATTTTTAGGGTCTAGCGAAGTATACAATATAACTACCTAAATACTGAAATAGCGCCAAACAAAATTGTGATATGAAATTTTTATGTTTTCTCTGAATAAAATTCTTGACAGACACTTTTAGTTAAAATGAACATATATATTGAACTAATCAGGTGCAATATGTCTCATGCCGAGCAAAATATATTGTTCCGAGCCAGACAAACTTTTATTCAAAAAACCTATTAAAAATATAGGCTTTATTTTTAATTTCACCTTTTTGTTTGGCATTATTTAATCATTTCGTCAGTTACTTAGCTATACCCTATTTTTATTCCCTTTTTCAGTTATATAACCAAAAATTTCTAACTATTCAGAGATCTTCAGAAGAAGCGTTTTCATCTACTAACCCAGAGAATGCATCAAAACGACGAACCGTTGATTCCTTCATGCTGCCAAAAACAAAATCTTTATTTTCATCAAAGTCAACCAATAAGGGAGCAATAAAAAAGTATGATTTAGTACCATTATTTTACAACGCTCATTTATGCTGTTCGCTACGACCCTGTACAAGCAGTCAATGATATCTACCAAGAATTGGTTTTCAGTCTCTTGGGGATCCTGGATGATACTAAAACAAACAGATCCCAGAATTCAATGAACCAAATGCTAAATGTCATTTTCATCTAGGTATTTTGTCACTACTCTATTAGACTTAGACAACTCTTAGATAAATAACGAGTCTCATGCAACAATCTTAATAGAGTTTTTTAATTTTATGTTTATACTAAACATATTCTAAGTAAATATTTTCATATGGGGTGTCAAGTTTAACAAGGAACATGTGGAAATCTGTGTATATTCAATAAATATAAATTTTGTTGTGCAAAAAAAGTGAGTTAGCTAAACAGTGGATAAATTGGTTTTCAGTTTTTTGCAGATTCATATGGAGGTATTAGATTCAATGATTTTAATACCAAATATTTTTGAATTTGTTCTATTCATTTTCGACTTGCCTCATTTGAAAAACTTTGCCCAAATCCATTCTTATTTTTAAAAAACGGTATATGTTAATATGATTTTTATTTTTAGACAAACATCTATAAAAAATTATTATAAAGAAGGTTTGAAAGAAAAATCTGAAAATGTGATGACCATTTTCGATGAAAATAATAAGAATACCAAAAAGGTAAAAATCTATTGTTCTAACGAAGCATACAACATAAGTCCTGGATGAATTATAATAATTAAAAATGATCTTTGGAAATTATTTTGAATTGATTATCTTGGATTCATCATCGAATTCTGAAAATACAGGTTCAAGAACCAATGCCCTAGACCAGGGCTACTCAACTGGCGGACCGCGGTCCGAACTCGAAATTTTCGGGTATTCGATTCGAACCGCGCATAATTCTTTATTTTGGATCATTAGCCCCACTTTTGATATTTCCTTTTATAATATCACTTTTATAGATTTAAAAATATATATGAAAAGAACTATAACGCCATAACAAACAATCTTGATTAGCTAATAATCATTAGTCGGCCGAGGAATTGCATGCTTAAGGATGCCGAAATATAATTTCTGGAAAGTCCGGACCCAAATATTTTTGAAGTTTCGTATGCGGACCTTCGGTAAAATAGTTGGGTAGCCCTGCCTTTTTAAGCCACGCCCCATTTTAAGAATTTGTCAAGTCTCGTATCCCACCTCAAAAATAACTAGCTAACAATAAGCTACAAATAACACAAAGTAAGGCGAAAGTATGTTTTATTCAGAAAACACATTGGAAATACTGAATGGAACTTAAATATCCAAAATAAGGCGGGCAAGATCAAATCGAACAAATATTTTAATTTGCTTCACATTCCTTAAAAAGTTGTCTACGCTTCCCCGTTTGAGAACTACTTCCCTAGACACAACGAATAAAAAATGTCAAATAGCATAAATCTTCCAAGTTTTTTGGAATCTTCCAAGGTTTTTTTTAATTTATTCATGTGAATGCATGTATAATAACTGTTTTACAGTTACAGGCTTGAATTATTTTGGAAACTATTTCAAGTTTTTTTATTTTTCATTATTTAAGAAAACATCTAACAAAGAAGATGATGCATTCAGTATGATGTGTTCAGAAGAAGCTCCTGAAAAATATTGGGAATTATTAGCCGAAGAAAGAAGGAAGGGACTGGAATCTGCTTTGAAAGAAAATAAAGAGGTTTGACATTAATGGTAGTATGCGAATCAAGATGGCGGACACTGGAACGTAGAATGTGTACCACGTTATGGTTAGGCCATAATTTCAGGTACAAGTATTACAGGAGTCAACTTGGCTAGTTCCCGAACTCATAATAGAACTAAAATAAGGAAAATTGGAATAAAATTATGCCCTAACTTGGTACACATACTACGTTCCGGTGTCCGCCATCTCGGTTTGCATATTACAAAAAATGTCCAGCAATCCGTTTGCACATATTGACGTCAGTCTTATATACATAATTAAAATAGTGAATAAGGGGAAAGCTAACTTTGATTTCTGCATGGTCATTCATGTACTTGTAAACTCAGTACTACTGTGTCGGAAGATTCAGCAGATATGTATATTGGTGAGGTGTCGCTGTGCCTGAATATAGGTATAAACAATGAAAAACAATGATTCTCTATTCCGTATATATATACTGAAAAAAAATTATTTTTTTTATAAATATAGATTTCACAAATTATATGTATCCGTAGTAAATGTGTATTAGTTTAAAGCAGAGGTAGACAACCTTTAATACAGGCAGGCCAGATGCAAATAACTGGGCGAAACCGCGGGCCGTACCTCCATTCAACATAGACTTTCTAACAGTTGCAGACACAAAAGTTTTCAAGCTAGCTGTTAGGGCCTTGTAAGGTTATCTGGTAAAAGCATCAAGTAAAAGATTTGCAACGTTAAGGGATTGGAAATATTTGCATGTACCTGATTGAACTACATTTAAAACTCTTTTCGCGCGCAGCAAACAATTCAAAATTAGCACTTGTCCATGGACTGCACAATTTTCCCTTGTGTGTCGTTTTTTCCTGCGAGCCATAGGTTGCACACCCTTGGTTTAAAGAATATATAGTAGAGAATAAGGTTGTGATTAGTTTACTATTTCTGATATATCACAAATTAAATGAGAAAAATTCAATTTTTTTTTCAAGGATTTCCTAGTGATGATAATCTCTTTTTTCACAGCTTGCAGATGAAATCAGGGCAAAAGATGAAACAATCCTGGAATTACGAACAGAGGTTTCAGAACTGAAGGAGACTGCAAAACATGCAGAATATCTGGCAACAGTACTCGAAGAATTAGGAAAAGAAAGCAATGTTGCTGTGAGTGAGGTATAACTCATTCTATATTTGTTTCTTGCCTTCCATTTTTGTTTTGGAATGATAATTTCAGTGTAATTTGGACTGATGTAAAATGAGGGCATTGGTTAAATGTTAGCTTCCTTGCTTCATTTGTGGCGTTTTAGAAGATTGAGATAGTTTTCCAGAAATCTCCGGTAATATTGTATGGTGTAACTAATAGGTGTGTCTGAAGAATTTCATAAATGAACTAATGCAGGGCAGCGGTTTCCAAACTTTTTGTTCATGTGGCACCAAATTATCAAGGGGAAAAACTCAGAATGAATTCTGCTTTTAAATAAAACTCGATTTTGTGATCGTTAATGTGTACTTTTGAAGTTTTTGAACATGTAGCTTAAGAAATAAATGCAAAAAGTCAACTTTTCTTCCTCATTTCTCTTTGAAATGCTAAAAAAATCACACATGTTTACTAAACTCGATTCAGCAGATGAATAAACTGCAGCTCATGAATTGCAGCAAGTAGTGTCTATCTCTGTTGTTACTTACGTAACAATAGAGGTAGATCCTGCGTAACAGAAAGTAGACGACATAAAAAGGTTAAATAAATTTATTGATTCATATACACAGCATTTAAAATGAGAAACAATAAAACATTTATAGCAAATACAATATGTAAAGTATCCAATTATATTTTAGTTATGTGTAGCACAATTCTGTTAATTATCGCGACGTACTTGACAACCTGGCGCACATTTTGGGAACCGCTGCACTAATAAATAACAGTGATCGGTACAAGTTTCTGAAACACTGGTTCAACAGTCAAATCAGAGTCTCATTAAATCCTAGAGTTAGACTCCCAAGTCGAGTCACTGCAGTCCAGGGGTCTTGAGTCGAGTCACTGCACTCCAGAGTGTCCTGTTGCAGGTCAAGGTATTGTACACCCCAAGTCTAGTCAGGGGTCCTGATTTGTGCCATTGTACTCTCGAGTCATAAGTCTAGTCATGGCACTCACAAGTCTAGTGACTGCCCTCCCAATCAAGTAGTCACTGACGCACTGTACTCCTGATAGAGTCGAGTCATTGCACTCCCCCCAGAGTGTCATGTCACAGGTCCCAAGTCGATTCATTACACTCGCAGGTCGAGTGACTGCGCTCCCGATTGAGTAGAGTCACCGATGAGTCATACTGCGTCGCAACTTGCAATTCCCAAGTTGTGTTATTGTACTCTTCGACCCAAGTCAAAAGTTGATTTATTGCACTCCCAACTTGAGAGTCGAGTGTCATTCAACTCAGGGTCCTGTCGTGTCCAAAGTTATGGTATCCTACTCTATAGTCGAGTCACAGATTGTGTCTTTGTACTCCCCAAGTCTTTGTAATTCACCCCAGGCCTCATTCAACATAAGCTATCACATTATAGTGATTACCAAAACTTTTTCACAATGAAGTTTATAATTTTATTTTAGGACGAAAGCTCAGACGATGAGACTGACGAAGAAAATGAAGTTTTTGATGAAAAAGATATTTCAGTTTCATATCCTACACAAAGTGATGATGCTGACAAAGAAGTGGGTGCTAATCTTTCTGAATTTTTCCATTTCATACATGTCACCATAGTAAAACTAAAATATTTTATGTCAAGTTTTGCAGTTTAGAAATGAGCTTTTCCTGATATTCTGTTATTCTTGACGAGGGGCAGTCTATTGGTACTGGTTTCAAAGCTATATCTTTTGGTCTGTTTTTCAAAGCTTTACCTGTCGTAGGTTTGTCTTTAGGTCTTAGGTCCATTTTCAGGTCGGCTGTCAGAACTAAACCGTTACAAAAATGTGACAAAAGCTAATTTGGTTCTGCTGGCCGCTAGGTATGATCTAACTTTGCAATTATACATTTTAGAACCCTTTTTTAAAATTCTTGGCTATGCCCCTGGTGAATATGTTGAAACACTCATGAAAATAACTGACAGTAAGGAAATGTAAATATATATATATTTCCTTCTTAGAATGAAAAATCAGAGCCAAGCGATGAAAACGACCCTCCAATTCTGGACCCAGAACTGAACTTAGATGAAAACAAGGACATCGAATCGGAAGGGTTGCCAGAATCACAGCAAGCATTGGATGAAAAGGTTGATATGCCAAAGGAATTAGACCCTTCAGTTTCAAACCCTGGGCAGAACTTTGATGACAATAAGGACATTGATCAAAGACTGCCACCAAAGTCTCAACAAGCATCTAGTGAAACATTGGATATACCGAAGGAATTAGATCAAAACTATGAATCTGATGCTGAGTGTTCGGTTAAAACTAATTCTAATCTCAGCCCAGATAATGATTCTGAATCTGGTGGGGAAGCAATACCAGACAGTTTATAGACGATGAGTACAAGACTTTACTTGTTGGTATCTCCATATTTCTACTCACTCAACTCAAAGATCTGAATGAGCTGTGTTGGTCGTTATATTGACCCAATTGATTGGTACCTGATGGAACTGCCTTGAAGCGATATTACCAAAATGGCACTGTGGCCCGGAATTCTAACTTTGCCTTTCACCGCTACCACTGAAAGCCATTCCCTACTCAATATATCTTTTAAGGCTTTAATAAAAGTGTGAATTACCGCATACTGTTATCTTTCCTGGTGAAAAGCAGGTGGATTCATTTGAAGTTGTCCACTAAAACTAGAGCTACCGCAAAGTTTTGGGTTTTGTTTTTGGATTAAAGTATTCTTCCTTTAAATCCACTTATGATTTATTGCGAGGTTTTCTAAATTGTTTTTGTTTGGCTTTGTTTCAATTAGGTTAATTTCATTTAACCACCATCGGGGCGCTGAGATCTTTTCCAGTCCTTGTGCTGGATTTGTCCCTTACTGTGACTTTGACATTTTTTAATGCATGCTATGGAACTCTGACACTGCCAGACTTTCTGTCTTTATCCGAAATTGTTTTTATTTGTACACTGTGTTTTTAAAAAGAAATGAGCGTTCATTATTGCTTTCTGTGTTTCTTATGAATGTGGCGGGAAATCCTTGATCACCCTCTAAAAAGAAATTAAGTTCTTTTCAGAAAAAAGTTAATTTTAAAAACTAAATGTTCACTCGGTAAGCCTTAGACTTCATGTATGCTTGCCAGTCAACTTAGTCAAGTGATGGAATGCCCATGGCTTCTCGATTCATATTTGTTTTGGATTTGGTTGTGGGTAGATTGATTATTCGCAGCAATTTGAAAGATTTCTCAAACAAAATTCATTTGAAAAATTGTTGTAAAAATTTGACTCCAAGCACAGGAACAAAAGCTGTGGCGTACACTAGTCCTTCTGGTGCTTCCGAAGTGCGTGTACCAAGATGGCGCACAGCCGGAACGTAGTATGTGTACCAGGTTAGGGTTATCAGGTTGTGCGCCATCTTGGTGCACATACTTCTAAAGCGCTGTCCTTCTAATATACTGGACTTTTGGTGATACCTAATTCTTTTTAGAAGAAAGCCTGATTCGTTCATCAATATTGAAATTCCTACTTTCGGGTCCAGGGAGTTGAAAACGCGACCCTCATTCCAGTGAAAAAATGTAGAACTAGAAACAAGACCAGGGACGTAGTCGAGAATTTTCAAACGGGGTCTTATAACCGTAAAAGCTAGCGGGTGCTGGTTGGTTTTCAAGATTGTTGGGAGTATAAAAAATCTACGAAATAGTTGATATGCATGAAAAATGCCTTTTTTACAACACCCAACCTCGACTAGCTTTGAAAAAAGCATAAGAAGATGAACTGTAAAATACGACCGCATATAAACAGAGTACGACACGATGTCTCGGTAACTTTTTGTGACCTGTACTACTACACTCTGATATCCCCTGACTTGATGAACAATAGACACAAAATTCGCATTCTGGAATTAAAAATTTTGGTTGATAAATGTGGCAACCTTGAATGTCTCGATTATGACATCAAAATCATTGTTCGGCGAAGCGTGTTGTTCTTGTAACAGTCACCAGAAAAGGGCTAATGGCGATACCTGTTGGGAATATACCATGGTTTCCGACTACTGGGCGTTGTGATGACGTTTAAACAAGGAATATGGATGTAATGTAATTCCGCATAACGCTTAGAATTAGATTATTCTATTGCACAAAAAGTTTCAGCAGGACCGCAGTGTGCAGCATCTATCATCGGTGCAGTCCTTGCAATTGGGTGAGTCGTCGGTTTTCTATTAATTTTTATCTTAAGTGGCAGTGTTGCCTTATAATCGACAAACCGTAGACGAACTCTAACCCGCAATGCTAACATATGTTTATTTGTCGAATATTATCTAACTCTTGTTGTTAGTTTTAACCTGACCAAAGATATGCAGAATCAAAGAAAATTAGTGGGGCGCAATAACATGGAAGTGCACAACTCGCACGAGACGTCTACTAGCAATTTACGGAAAGTATTTCATTTTTTAGTTTCTCATCGGCTGTATATTTAAGGGTTCCATTACATTTGAACCCACGACAATTGCACCTGCATACTATTGCACATGTGGAAATTTTATTTTTTGCGGTTATTTGAACCCATACTAACCCTAACCCATGGATTTCAGCACATGCATATAGATTAAACCCGCGGATATACCGGTTCAAATATTGGGGTTCAAATGTACATTTATGATTTACAAGTGAAGAAAAAATGTATTTAATATAGGGGAGCAAAAATCAATGCATTCCATGTGTAACGTAGCGGGTTTAAAGGTGACGGCGATCGACATATAGAAAATATCGTCTTCCTCGCTGAAACATAAACTGACAATTGTACATATCATCGTTGCGCCGTACCTCTTTGCCTTGTGTATTGTGCAAATGTTTTATTTGTATATTTCATGTTTGTTGTCCTGCTAAAACGCATCAGTCCCAAACTGCAGTTATACTTGTTGGGGTGCATGTCGCACATCTGTGTCTTAGGCCAGTAAGGTCATGAACATGTATCCAGTCTCTCTTATACCGTTTATTTATTATGCAGATACCGTTACATATTTGAGGCAAATAAACATACAAACGACCATTGAACTGACTTTGGAATATTGTACTGTCATAATACCCAGCTTTTTTGTAGTCTCTGTATACAAAATGAAGCGATCACAAATATTAGCATTGATCCAACGGTGCACTTGTGTATTGCAAGTGTTCAGATAGATAATATACGAAGTGAATATAATGAATAAACAAACAATTGAAAATACGGGACAATGACGTACCAACGTAGGAAGGAGCGTCATACGACAGAAGGAGCGAACTAACGTATACGCATTAGGAACAAACGTAAGACATACGTATTACATTACACATGCATTCAAATAGAGACATGTATTCCCGCTCTTCGATTTATATTTCCTACGAAACATGGGTGTGACGACGCAGAGGCGTGTTAAACTTTTCTGCTCCCGGGGGCGAGTTTCTGATAATGCTGCCTCTTATACATAACTTCAAAAAAAATGACGTGGATTACAAATTTATAGATGTTGTTATACCCCCTCTAGGCACGCCACTGTGACCAAGGATGGGCGAGATTTTATTTGCGAGGACGCGCAATTTCTTCTTCCATTTACTATGATAAAGTCGAATTCAATAGTGGCTGATATTATTGAACCGATGATGAAAAATAGTAATAATATTATTTACACATTTCATATTAGATATCCTAACTAACGTTCAGAGATAATTGAAGATGTAAGAAATTTTCACTATTTTATCCCAGCAGATAATTCTGTGCAGGGGACCGCATAAAATACTTTGGCGTGCGTAGTTTTCTCGTCCCTACTGTTGCAAATATTTAGATTGTGTATTCGATGTCATACACGACCGCTACACGCTGCGTATCACGTATTCTGGTCAACGATTAAATACGCCACATACCTTTTCGTGAGATTAAATCTTGGCAAACGATTTTTCAGTGTTCAACATTTTAACTCGGGAATAAATGCTACGAAAGAGAAAAAGCCCAGATTTTCTAGGAAGTCTTCAAATTTTGAATTGGGTGACAAACTTTCCTCTTTTGATAAAATTTGTGTAGTTTTCATAGGTCGATGGTCATGAATTGCATGGGTGATTCAGTCCTGCGCGATATAAATGCGCATGGATGCATGTCAAGGGTAGCAGAAGAACATTGCCGATCTTTGACTGTGTGGCTGCATGGTGCTGGTTCTAATATATTGTTATTACCTGTTTGATTGTATGCAAATATCGTGTGTTGCTTTGGAAAAATCTTAAGAGATAAATAAGTAACTTGCAGATAGAGGCGAGACACTACAATTTGTGTGCCCAAAATGGAAAACACTTCAATATACTTGGCAACTTGAGATAGAGTACCTGAAGCTAAAGCGCGCTGATATTATTTATGTGATTGATATGGGCGGCGAGGATCCTGCGCGCAAACTTTCTAAACATTTTTAGAACAACAAGTGAAATTCATAAGAATTGTAAATTTGAAGCAAAGCCGTTATCGTGCTGGACTAGAAACATTCTGAGATAGGTGAAATAAATTTTCCATGTTTGAATTAAACATGAACACTAAATGTGTAATAATTTGTGAAGGCCTCTGGCCCTCCGACATACCTGGCAGAGCAAATCATATATGTGTTTTAATGTGGCTGTTTGCTTGTTATCAGTCGTATCCCGACGATCTGAAGTTTTAGTTTCAGGTTGAGTTAATAACCAAGCGTTTAATTTGACATTTTTTCGATTTAAATATTGTTCTTGCTTATATTTATTTCCAATCTGTGTTTTATTTATTAGATACTGCCTTGGTCCGCTCAAATGATAATTAAAGTAACAAGCATTGAGTAAATCTTTGAGTTGGTATTTCCGAACCCTTTTTAATAGTCTATGCAGTCAATACTTGAATTAAGTGTTTTAGTTTAATGTAAATTTTCAGCATTTACCATTGAATTGGAAACCCTTTGGGAACCTTGCCGCTCAAAAGCTTACTCAAATCCCGCTAAAAATAAAATAGACTTCGGCATGAGAAACGAGAGAAATATTTCGGTCGTTCCTCGCATGACAAAGTATTAAATTATTTCACTCAGTTGTTTCCATTACATTGTTAACTTGAACCTATTTAATTCCCACACGTCATGGGTTGTTTTAAACTCTCAAATTAGCATATTTCCACTTTTAGTTAGAAATTGAAATCTTGCTTTGAGCAACCCTAATTATGAATAAATATCCTATTCAATTTTTCAGACTTTGCAACATATTTTTCACCTAAAATTGATAATCAAGCGCTAATTTTAGGGCGTCAGCATTCTATCGTTCCACCTTCTTCAACCTGTTTCCATCTCAAACAAGCGACTAAACAAGATAAATTATTTTTAAGTATTCTCTGCTGAGTAATAACTGATGTACACAATAAAATGTCATAAAAAGCAATCACACATTTATTATAATATGCAATTCAAGAGTCCTGCTGCAGACCATTGGTTGTAAACTGCTTGTCCGGAGAAATCTGATTTTGGTCAAACGAAAAGACAGAAATGTATTTGTGTTAGTGTGCAACGGGACTCTTGAATTGCATATTATGGTATATTTATTCCTGCTATGTTATACGCATACAGATCCACTAGCGCAAAGGCATTGAGAAATGATTGGGAGTTAGTCTCGCGCAACCCCTACTGGTAGACACATCTATTATATTATAAAATACCCTGGGGGTTCGCGAACCCCTGTTTTAGGGGATCTGTCAAAGACTGTTACACATTAGATTCCAGTACATCGCCACATATGTTGTACGCTGGGGTGTACTTCTTAGTGATAGCCTTTCAGATGCTTTCTGCTTGTGAGCACGAAATATCTTAGATATTTATGACAAACCTTGAGGTTTAAAGCTAAATACTTTCGTCAACGACATCTTATTATAACTGGTTGTGTAACTCAGTGTAACTGAATTACATTGACAAAAATATTTGTCCGGCCCGTTTCAACACAGTTTGAGTCACACCTGGCCCGCGGTCAAAAAAGTTTGGTGACCCCTGCTTTAACGCAACATGTTCAAAGTGAAGATATAATTATGAGTTATTTGCACACTGCAAAAGTAGATTTCAAATTCTGCTTACCCCATTCGAATTTTGTATTACATTTGCTTGGACCAGAACTAAAACAAGCATTCATAAGATTATTACATTATGAGCTTATAGATGGATTGCGCCTATATCGAGTTCCTTTCGACGGGACTCACGTGGCATCTTGGAAGGTTCATAACCTTTTAAGAAACGGCTTAGTATTTCAGCTATTAACATAGCTCACTCTGACATGGCTCTTGTTGACAATTGTGTTCTTGTTCATCTCTTGTTCCTATATTTCAGTTGGCTTACACTTCTGGACTCTGGATAACGTTACCTCCGATAATTTCTTATTTTAAAACTGATCAACTCTATAACTAAAGTATACGACTTCCTAATATCGAGACTTATTTGCGCATAATAAATCAATTGCGCATAAATGAATATATTGGGTTCCCATAAAGTCTTAAAAAAAATTCAATTTCAAAATTGTTTTGTTCCTCGCAAATGTATTGGATGAAGGGAAAATACTTGAACAATTACTGATTAAAAATAACAAACCTGGTTAAGATATATTGAGAATTGTCTTCACAACCAAATTGAAATTGTAAAGAAACTGTAGAACATTATATAGGAGTTCTTACTTTGAAACTACTATCGGTATATTTTATCAGCGACTCGCCTTCATACAATTGACACCTAAAATTCTGATATAATTTCTTCGCGTTGCTTTCTAATAATTATACAATTTAAAGTTATATACACCAAAGTGCTCTGAATTCAGTAATTTAAAAAGAAACATAGTTTGCTTGGATGTGCATACGCTACTAAAAGTTGGTTGTAAAATTAATTTCCGCATTTCCGGTAATTTCAAATCAAATAGAACATCATAATTCTTACCACAGCATTCTTGCATTCTATGCATACGGATTCACTTGCACAAAGGCAATAAGTAATGAAAGGTAGTTAGCCATACGCAACCCCGACTGGTAGATGCTTTACTTTAATTGTACGTAACTGCGACGGAAATAGATCCCAGAACATTGCTATTTTCCAATAAAACAACAGCTTTGAATTTATAACTGAATGCGTTTTTAAATCAGGCTTAACTACGCTACTTTGGTGCATTTCGCAATCTAAATAATTCAAAAATGCTTATGAAGGCGATATTTACAAGTCTTTCGCTCGTTTTCAAGTCTTGATGGTTTAAGAAGCAAAGGAAAACTGTCATGTACGATACAGAAAAAAAAATTGTTCACATTTCAAATAGAAGGGTTCCAATAAGTTAACAGTGTCGGCGCATTTAAAATCACCTTGGATATTCAATAATTTTACAGAAAGATTTCCAAGCATCGTTTGAAACTTTAACGCCCGTTTGTAGTTTTTTTTTAATTTGCGATCTTTGGCCACGTTTCTAAATTATAAGTGAAAATGAAATCTCTGAATTGCCATTTTGCGGTCAAAAATGAAAAAAGCAAATATATATATATACATAGCCAAGTTTATTTTTCCATCCAGTAAAATAATATAACGTTCGTATTAAAAAAAAAACGAATAAAATTCAACATACGTTCTACTGGGGATAAGAAGTCACCAGGAACCGAAACTGGTTATCGTGCACAGCGACACCCAAGGTTCAATACCTAATAAATTTATATGGATTCGAATTACGTTTTTATAACACCGTTATCATTGGTCAGTATGGTTTTAACAGCGAAACCACCAATAACATCCATTTTAGGTTATATAAGTAGATATATATAAAACCAACAGATGAAAGTCTCGGACGGAATCCATACATCTGTGATATAACTACACCCCAAGGGGTAGGAAACCCGTCTAAAATTTCAATCTTCCTAATTTCGAGGTGTAACAACACACTTTAAATGAAATTTCAAACTTTAATATAATTGTATTCGAATGACACATTTTTATGGATTACAAATAGTTTTATTAATTATAGAAAAATATTCACCACCCCCTAAATTTGGAAACATCCCGCCCCCGAGAATAAAAAGCTGGGGAGCATACAGCCATATATATATATATACAAGTCAAACATACGCAAAATAAAGTGCGCAGGACCACAAGAAGGCGAGAATACAAATTTTAAAAAAATGCACAGTTGCATTGCAGTTTTTATATAGGCGTATACAAAGCCCCAACCACTAATGCAAAAATGTTAAAACTAACACCCGCCACGTTTCGAAATAAATATTACTATTTATTCAGTTAGGGTTAAAAATGATTTGAAAATTGGAACTTCCAGTGCAATCTGCATTCCAAAACCTAAATAGATAATTACTAATTTTCTTATTTTGAGGGTTGGCGGGGTCTTTGTACAAAACATCCGAATTCTACGAGGCATTGTTAGAAGTAATTCCACTTCGGCATAAGACGCCGTCAGACGGAGAATCACGAGGCATATGTCGCATTCCTGTCAGTATTACTGAATAAAGATCAACAACAAGAACTATATTTTCGAAGAACCACGGAAAAGAATTCAGTGACTCTCTAGGAAAATCTGCAAGCCCTTTTGTAAATACGTATTCTGGTGTAGTTTCGCCTGTCTGCAAAATAATAACGAAAACTATAAGCATATAACTATCAGTTGAGGTTACACAAGACTAACTAACTGCCTTCTTTGCTCTATGCCTTTGTGGAAGTGGGGTCGTAGCGTGTAATGCAAGGACGCTGTAGCAGGAGAACAAATTTAAGTTGTAAAATTTTCAATGTTTACAGCAGTGGTCGGCAAACTATGGCCCGTTGCAAACAATATTTTGTGGCCCCCGAACGACTTTACTTTTAATGCACAAAACAGGGATTGATCGTCTGCACACTGATTTATGTTGTCAACACATCATGTGGCATGCTTCCTGCAGGAATAGAAGTAGCGAGTGCGCCGCAATTTGAAGTTAATATGTGGCGATTGTTTGTAAGCGAAAATTGGACCTCCAGAAGTATGCGCACCAAGATGGCGCACAACCTGAACATAGTATGTGTGTATCGGTTAGGATTCAGGTTGTGCGACATCTTGGCGCGCATACTTCTGGAGCAGCCCGCACGCTTTCGGAAATGTGTATATTAGACCCACTAAAAAATGAAGTTTGCCGATTACTGGTTTAAAGTTTCCCAGAAACAAGATGGTACTACTATGAGCCAGTTATCGAGTTAAAAATATTTATTAATTATGGATGAAAATCAGTTTCGTCCATTTTATACCCCGTATGAAATTCAAAGATGTTTGAATGTTCGTTTCATGTCAATCAATATAAAAACTGTAATTGACAACAAAACAAAATGTGGAAAATTCTGCCGCACTTGAAATTTAATTAAAATCTTCTAATATAAACTTGAGTTCCAATAAAGCAGTGGTTCTCAACCTTTTATGACTCGTGGCCCCCTTTCGGAGACTTTTAGCACTCATGGCCCCCACTTTAATATTCCAGAGGTATTAATAGGGTTATTTTCATTGATAGATTCCAAATCCCATTATGTTAAAACAATTTGCACAAAAGAGAGCGAAAACACCCTGCGAAATAACCTTGTTGAGCAGCAAACTTGGAAAAACTGTAAGATTTCTTTTAAAGTGAAAAGTAAATTCAGATTTCAGCCCATCCCTGTGGCCCCCCTCCAACTCCTCTGTGGCCCCCTTAGGGGGCCGAGGGCCCCCGGTTGAGAACCGCTGCAATAAAGGAATGTAATAATATTTTTTTAAATAGGGTCATCTCCGAGTAATACTGAATTTTCCTCCATTCTTAATGAACGATTTATAGACAAACATATAGAAGCCAAAATCATACCTAAATAAATTTCTCAATGACAAAAAATAATATTTCACACCGTTAAATCGATAGTCGTTCCAATCCAAATATATACATTGAACTTTCCTTTCGGTATCCTTGCTCGTAAAATCTTTACAATTACATCATATTCTTGTTCGTTTTTTATATTAGCAACGACCATATTATGTTTTGTACATTTAGCATCAGTTGCGTTATACATCATCGTTCTACCAGGACTTATCTCAATCCCAAATATACTTCCATCATCGGCAATGTATATATCTATACAAAATAAAATAAGTTAATATGGTACTTTCATTCTGAAAAAGAATCGACATACGCAGATGCAGAAACGTAAAAATCACCAGCTACTAATGCAAAAATGTGAGATTTGAGAAAAACATTAAAACGCTTCAAAATAAAATAAAAACTAGCAAATATCTAGTCAGTGTTTGGGTTAGTAATGGTTGTAAAATTTTAATTTTCAGCGCAATATGCATCCATCACTAGGCCATGTACAAAACCTGACTGAGTAATTACTAACTTTTTTTATTCTGAGCGTTGGCGCGGGTGTTTTTTTGGCGGGTGCTTTGTACAAGAGATCCAAGGTTCGACATACGCAGACTCAGAAACGTAAAAATATATTATTTTCAATTCATTTTTTTTATTATAGGCCAGATGAGGTTGTCGACAATAGTATTGAACCCGAGATGCCATTTGACAACTTTCAGTATATGTAGCACTCCCGTAATATGAAAATATAAAGCACATACAAAACATGGATAATCATGTAATCATAGTTTGAAATTACTTTAGACCAGTGTTTCCCAACCCGAGTCCGCGGTCTCAAATGAGTCCGCGGAGCGGTTGAATGAGTCCGCAACGAGCCAGAAATTCACTGCGGGCCGCAAACGTTTTTGCGAAATTAACTATCAGCCAAGTTACGATTCACGTTAGAATTTACACAAAACATAAAGAGCAAGTTTATTCACATATCATCAATTGAGTCAATAATTAATGGTTACTGAGTAGTGCTGGGCAAATATTCGAATATTCTACTATTAGAATAGAAATTACTATTCGAAAATTGGTAACAAGTGGCGGACAGGTCACTCGCGCGTCGCTTAATCAAACGATCGGATTTCAGCTTGGCGGATTTTCGACGAAAACACGAGCCTGCACAGCAGGGGCGTAGCCAGGAATTTTCAAAGGGAGGTGTCCGAAATTTAGGTGTGTACGAAATGTCGCACAACCTGAAAATAGTATGTGTCCCCGGTTAGGGTTCAGGTTGTGCGTCATCTTGGTACGAATACTTTCGAAGCGCCGAAATTTGTGATTGCCAAGTTCGACAGCAACAGGTGGTCTGGCCGGAGGCCGCAAAACGCAAGTTTCTAAGAGAACTGATGTTCTAAAAATTGCTATGGGCATCAAATGGAAATTGCGGACTGAATGGATGTTTCCCCGAGCATCGACTTCCTTGTTTACTTCGGGACATTGGCCAATCAGCAAGATGCAAAGAGTGACGTGGTTTCGCATCCGCTCAGACACTTTCCTCGCTCAGACTGATTTTCAGGCGTCGTCGTAAACATTACCTCGTTTTGCGCGTTTTTGAAATCTATTCGTTAATTTCTAGTTCTGTTTCGGATATTTAAATATAAATCAAATAATTCAATGATCACTTTGTCTTCTTAGAAGTTTCAGTTTAACTGCGGTAATAAAAAAAATAGTGTAGAAATAGCTGCAATAGACTAGGCTAAAATTCTTCACCGGTACTTTTGAAAAACAGATTGTTGAATGCTATGAATCAGAATAATGGCTTGAAGCAAAATACCCCATTTTACAGGCGCCAACTCGCAAAACCACACTTTAAATAAGCACCGAAAATTTTGCGATGGTAAAGTATAGGAAGAAATTTACGGGGGTCAAAGGTCCATAAATCGCCTTATTCAGTCACAATCACGTCGCTTCTACTTGACGGCATCCGGAGCCATGACGTTTTATGCGCTTATTCGGCGCGTGGCAAGTCGCGTCTATTAGTCGTCATTTTTACACATTTCAAAAAGGGGGGGGGGGTCGACCCGGAACATAAAACGGAGAATAGCATAAGTTTTGTTTTATGATTGTACGCGACCGATTGAAAACGCCTTTTTTGACATTGCGAATCGCAAAATTTCGGGTGCTGAAATACGTATACGTACCAGGGCATTTTCCCTTAGGATTCTTTGCATTACCGCGTTCACATTGGTACGTACAGTGCTGGAGCGCCGTAAGTGTTGTACGAACAACTCAGATTTGTCGAATTCACAAAAACGACGAATTAAAACAAAATGTAATCGGATTGTGTCCATGGATTGTCACGATATTTTCTGAGTAGTATTGCTTTTACTTCGTCAACACAACCGCAGATTAAAATGATAACAATTAAATTAGTGATAAAGCAAGGCGATGATTGTAGTTTTAATTTACTATTAAACTTTAAATATATTTTTAATAAGTACTAAATCAAGTTGTACTTTCTGGTTTGCCGATGAAAAAATAATCCGCGAACAAAAAAGATTTGGAAACGCTGCTTTAGACAAAATTCTTCGTTTTCGAGGATATGAGATCAGAATCAAACTGGGTTCTGTAACTTTGAATATAGCATACTAAGTTTATACCTGATAATGCATATTATGATTCTTAAGGTAAGAAATAAGTTTGAAACAAATAACATTGCATCGCAATTTTGAAGGTTAACTTTAACGCTACCAAGCAGTTGAACACAATAATTAGGTTTTCAAGAATTCTTTCGTTCTTCTCATAATTGTGTATTTTAAGTTAATTTCTCATAAAATTGTTTCTTCCCTATTTTTGCTACTTGAATTAAGCAAACAAGGTGTCTCTGACTGGATGACTTTTACGCGACCCTTTCATGAATTGCTATGAGGTTAGTTTTATTATATACTTTACAATTACATTGATGATTAGTTACTCCCGAAGAATGTGAACCAAGATGGCGTACACCGAAAAGTAGTATGTGTACCAGGTTAGGTTTAGGCCATAATTTTTTTTCAATTTTCCCTATTTCAGTTCTAGTACGAGTTAGGGGACTAGCCAAGTGACTCCCGTAGTATTTGTACTCGAAATTATGGCCTAATCGTAACCGGGTACACATACTACGTTCCGGTGTCCGCCATCTTGATTCACACACTTCAGGAGTCCTACCGAATATTGCATGATGAAAATCTATTTCAGAATCAGTTCAATCTAAATTTCAAACCGTGGCACGCTGACGCCTTATACTGCACGATAAGCTAATTCAAAAACATCAAACGTGTATAAGTTAGTTTACCTGTGGAAAAAGAATTCACAACAGATTTCATACGATTTATAGTAGTTTTCAACACATCCAACTTTGTTTGCCCCTCATCAAATGCACTTTGAATGTTGTTCATCGCTTGCGTGTTCGTCTGGTAAACTGAAATAAACTAAAATAATTTTATATCAGTACTACCAAATTAAAAATATTAATTAAATAATAACAAAACTATCCAACATGAGAGCAATGCTCAATTATTTGGACACGAAAGCCAAAATGAAGTAGTACGATATGCAATATGTCACAGTAGAATACTTATACCGCAGCTTGACGACTTTGCCCGCGGAACAGACACAAGGTGCGCCATATTAAATTACGTCATCAAACACAAAAAAACTCAATCAAACACAAAAAAGATCACATGGATTTTAGAAATAGATAAAGAAATAGCCTTCCAGCAAAAAATGCAATTTTCAACAACTAATGGAAATTTCAAACAGTTGGTCCAGTATTTAACAAGAAAAGCAATGTTTTCACGACAATAAAAAGAGTAGGCTAATACCAACAACAGCATAATAACATAACCATCCATATTTACTTTTCGTGCGCGTTTTGGCAAGGTTTCTGCTGGTTTTTGACGACTTTTCACTGTCTTTGCACGTTTTGGCAGCTTTCTAGTGGTTTTTGACGGGTTTTCACTGTTTTTGCGTATTTTTTTCACGTTTTGGCAAGGTTTTTAGTCCTTTTTGACGATTTTTCAACGTTTTGCAGTTTTTGGCAAAATTTCTAGTGCTTTTTGACGGTTTTTCACTGTTTTTGCAAGTTTTGGCAAGGTTTCTAATGTTTTTTGGCGGGTTTCACTGTTTTTGCACGTTTGGCAAGGTTTCTAGTGGTTTTTGACAACTTTTTACTGTTTTTGCACGTTTTGGCAAGTTTTTTAGTGGTTTTTGACGGTTTTTACTGTCTTTGTGCGTTTGCGTATGTACCAACGATTGGCGTCGACTAACAGCTATCTTTTATTCAAGGTGAAGAAATAAACGTCTCTAAGTATCGATTTCTTTTCTCTTTTCTGCTGTTTAGTGACAATGACTGTGAGCTTGTGGAAATATTAGAGTTAACAAAGGCAAAGCTCTTGCAAGTACTGTGAACTTTAGTAAATTAGAGCGAGAGCAACAAATGTGATTGATTCATAGTATCTTGTGACATACAACTTCCGGTATTCCCGAAGTATGTGAATCAGAAGAGTGGACACCGGAACGTAGTATGTGTACCAGGTTGAGGTTAGGCCATAATTTTATCCCAATATTCCTTATTTTCGTTCTATTACGAGTTAGGGGGCTAGCCAAGTGACTCCTATAGTATTTGTATCTGAAATTATGGCCTAACCGTAACCTGGTACACATATTACGTTCTGGTGTTCGCCATCCTGGTTCTCATACTTCGGGAGTACCCAATTTCCTTTGCGCTCAAAAATTAACTGCGTATATATGCTTATCGGTTGTTCATCTCTAACCGGAGTTGATTTATTTATAAACACAGTATACAACATAGAGGAGCCACAAACAAAGCAACACTTTGCCAAGGAAAAATTGTCGAAACTTTTGTGAGCGAAAAGACTCCCCTATTTGTCACTATGTTTGACATCAAACTCCAGATGTTCAAATAGGTTTCAACATCACCAGTTCAAATGCGACTCTAATGATGTATCGGACACATACTTTACATGTATGTAGGTGTGGTGAATTCTGCATATTGACGTGTTAATTTATTTATTTTCTTTATATTGAAACCTTCCCTGTTTTTAGTTGCACGAATACTCTTATTGTCTTACTGTGTGGGGTAGGGCAGTCTAAAGGCGAGTGTGCCAACTTTATAATAAAAGTTTAAAAAGTCAAAATTGTCTTTGTTGTGAGAAATTGTAACTAATTTTTTTTTTTGTAACTGATGGGCCAATCAAATCCCAATTCTCAGTATTTAAAGATGGTTGATTTCACTCATGTTTTTGGAATTTCGTCCGGATCCTATTCGCCACTTACTTCACCTAAAATTGTGACGTTTCATTTTTATTCAAGGAAACGCTTGTATATTACAGGGGACCCAAAAAACTGAACCCATATAATATGCTCCAAATGGACTGGGTTCCGGTTTTTTTTTTGGACGGGGGGGGGGGGGGTATTCCCATACCTAAAACGGTTTTGTATAGCCTATATATAGTTATATAGCCTATATATTTGATCATTGTCTACTTATTGTAGCAAGTATAGTTACTTTAATTCAAAATGTTCAACTTACGAATAAGTAATCCCAACATCAATCCAAGCAAGATGAGAAGTAGTAAAACGATCAACATAAAATGTTTCCTACAACTGTTTCTCAATACTGTGAAATATAACAAATTTGAAGTGGACTTCAAATGAATTCTTGAAATATATAACGAACACCTAACGATTTTTATAGTTGCAAAAACAGTTTCAAGTAAGAAAATATTATATGAAAAGGTGAAGCAAGTCGAGGATAGACAATCGATTTCCTGTATGTCAACTATCGTTTTAGTGTATTTATGCCGCCATACAAATATGTTTGACGTATACATGCCAATTTTTACGCCTATTACTTTCTGTGCGCCAGGTTAGGATTAGGCCATAATTTCAGGTACAAATACTACGAGAGTCACTTGGCTAGTCCCCGAACTCTTAATAGAACTAAAATAAAGCAGATTGGAATAAAATTATGTTCTAACCCCAACAAGGTACACATACTACGTTCCGGTGTTCGCGATCTTGGTTCACATACTACTGGAGCGTCAATTTGAGAATGACTATGTTTCCGAACATATAATTGCAAAAAGAAAAAATAAAGAATACCTGTTCCCCCTCTGTCTTCTCGCACAGCGTTGTCCATTTTCCAATCTCAGTATTAAACGTATAATTCAAAACAACATTTTTGTTCAAATGGAAAAATATTTTAAATCATTATATGAACTGTACCAGATATTTTGGCCACTGGCAAGACTCCGACCAATCAACCGAGTTCCGACCTCGACCTCGGAGTTCCTGGACGTAGCTATTTTTACTCTAGTATAGGTTGCTTATTTATTTCTATTTTCTTAGCTGAAGCTTCTTAAATTCTATTTTCTTTCTTTCTCTCAAATCGGCTTAGGGCTTAAATCTCATTTTGTATCTTTCGTATCTAACCAAGATTTTTTTTTATTAGCATATTCAAATATTTCTATTCTATTTCCAACTGCCTCAGTAATCGCTGAGAAAAACTCCGATGGCCAGTCTTTTTAATTTGAAAATAAATTTATAGCATAGTTTTATTTTATGTGTATCCGTAGTATATTGAGTTATCATCATTTATTCAGTTTATTTAGCTTGTCGCCTTATTTTAAGGAAAATCTCACTAGTGCCACAGATTAACCTGGAATGAAATGGTCATCGTGAATAATGTACTATATAACATAAGAACGATGCTCAAATAAAGATTCATAGATTTTTTCAAAACTATACGAAGAAAAAAAATAGCAATATTATTAGGAACAACAACAACAACATAATAACTAAACAATCTCTATGTCCACTCAGTGTTCAATTAACAAAAAAATGCATAAACCAGGTATAAATAACTTCTGTTTCGTACCCTCGGATTCCAACAAATAAACGACTTTGTGATGTGCATTCAGATATGAATAGGATATCAAATAATGCAAAGCGAAAGTTATTTTCGGTTTTATATCACGTGTTGCTAATGTTCGACTAGTAATGGATTTAATGACATAAAATTGATGTAAATTATCTCAGAGTGTTCAAGACAGAAATATAACTATTCTATAAAAAAAGGCAATATCGATCAATTTTAATGTGGAAGCAGTACTGAGACCCATCACGGAAATAAAGCTAAGATTCTATCTTTTGTGTGAGAATGCGCAAGCACATCGGTCTCATTAAATGTATTGTCAACTTTATTATTTTTTTAATACTTTCGGTGTTATTAAATTTTACTATTTTTTATTTCAGTTCCTGAAATCGCAAAAAAATTTGGTCGTAACAAGTGGGTCGTGATGAAAAGAGTTTAAAAAACAGTTGACTATAAAATCAACAAACAGCTGCATAAACCAGATAAAATACCCTCACGGATTTCAACAAATCCCAATTTTGTGGATTGCTTCAGATATATGAATGAGAAAATCAAATAATTCAAAGCGAAAGTTTTTTTCTGTTTTATAACATTCATTGCTGGTGTTCGACTAGTAATGGATTTAATGAGATAAAATTGATGTAAATTATCACAAGTGTTCAAGACAGACAAGTTATATATTATTCATGTCGATTATCTCTCTTTGGGAGTTTAAGCTGCAGCATTGGTTGTAACATAACCGACGAAATTCGGTACTCCCGTAGTATGTGAACCGGGCGGACACCGGAACGTAGTATGTGTACCAGGTTAGGGTTAGGCCATAATTTTAGGTACAAATACTACTGGAGTCATTTGTATAGCCCCCGAATTCGTAATAGAACAAAAATACGAACAACTTGAATCAAATTACGGCCTAACCCGAACCTGGCACACACACTACGTTCCGGTGTCCGCCATCTTGATTCACATACTGCGGGAGCACCCAAAAAGTAATATCACATTTAGCTTCAATCCATGCCCTGCTCTTTTTTTCTACACACCAGTTGTACTCGCTATTCAATTTTGAAATATACAACAAAAATCGTAAGTAAATCGATCACAGACTCGATCGCGGACCCTCAGATCTGATTATTGTTGTGTGTTTAAAATAATTTTGTTTCAGTGCAGACAACATTGAAAAACCTGGGGCATCCCAAAAATCTGTAAATAACGTATTATTGTCACATCACAATTAATGGCAAAGAGACAGTATTTACCAATATATGTCTATTTGGAAAATGAAGGATTTGTGCGCATGGTTATATTTCGATGTGCCTGAAGTTGTATTTGATTGCCATGGAATGCAAAAATGCTTCTTACCGTTTATATTAAATCGTATTCCATTTGCCACTTGAATACCTGTGGTATACAGACGATGAACATCTTATTATAAAGCAGTGGTTCCCAAACTTTTTTGAAGCATTCCTGGCTTGGCCTATTTTAAGCTCTTCATTCCTCCCTCACTGCGAATAAATAAAAGATACTTTCGCCTTAATATATGTTATTTTAGCTGATTAGTAGCTAGTTATGCCCGAGACAACTTCTAAAAAGGGGGCGCGGCTCAAAAAGTTTGAGAACCACTAGATAGGGTTCATGTTCATTGAGCGAGATTTATTTCAGCAAAACAATGTTTAAGAAAAGACAATATTACAGATTTTTGTACAAATAAAATGCAGTGAGTGAATAATTTATGCTTTGAATTGTGTTGGCAAGTCAATACCTTCGTAAGCCCCGACATTTTGTTTACACTGTTATCTAGGTTTCATAATGTGAAAATAAAATAAAGAGACAGAAAATGAGTCGTCAAATATTTATTCTACGATTCGACACTTTATAATCAGCATAAAGTTACAATACGCTGTGTTCCAGTGCAGTACTGATCACTTTCACGGAACCCGAAACCATTGAGTGAAAGCAATGCAGATAAAATCAAAATTTGTAATATCAGATTTTGAATCTGTTTGATTATACAATAATTGTAGAAAACTCAACTTGTATATATTAAGATTATGGATAAATGAGACCGAATCGAGGTATTAAATAATAAAATTAAAGCTTGCCCAAAATATTTCTGGCTATTAGCGAAAACATGTTGCCAGTATTCTAAAATTGTGTTTCATTCTTAGATCTGCAGGTAATCGGAAACTCTTTGTCATGCAGATGTTCATCAATGTTAAAACCTGGTCTGTCTCATCCTACAGCAACCGGATCATATTGTGCAATCCGGGTTTGGGGGAGCAGTGAAACACCGTTTCCCCTTGACACCAGGATGAAGCGATGACACAGATTAAGATAAAAATGGCTGATGTTTTCATTTCGAGGTTTTAGTATATTTCAGTTCAACCTGAAAAAAAGATTTACGTTTGAGATGCGTTGGTTGTGTTGAAATCAAATAAAATATTAGAATTACCAATGATTTGCAACAGGGGTGACAAGTGAATTTAATAACATACCTCAAAAATTTACCTTGAATCAGTTTTATGCCTACTGTGTGTTTGAAAACAGGAAGCATACATTACTCTAGATGCGCCTATTCGAGTCTGGGCAAGCCCAATAGAGCATATTGTTACCTGACTTTTGCCGTTGCCAAGGTTCAGACGTGCGATTACCGTGTGTCTTGACGGACAAACGATCCTAAAATAACTTCTGCAGTATGCAAATGTTATTATGTTACTCCAAGAGTAGCGTGATAAAAAAGTATCTTGCAATTATGTATATTTTTCTATGAAAAAAAAATTCGATTTTACAATGGTTACGACTAATGATGCATATAATATTATACGCCATTATATCACGAATATGTCATATTATCTATAAATTAACCACAACGAGACAACACGTAATTAATTTGAAGGTATATGACTAAATAACGGAAATTTTTAACTGACATATTTTTTTTTAACGTGGTTGGCGGATGTGTAGCGATTTGAAACATGAAATATGATCCCCGACACAATGCGTCATATTATCACGAATATGTCAAATTATCTATAAATTAACGACAACGAGACAACACGTAAATAATTTTGACGAGTTTGCAGTTATGAAGGAGGCAATTTTCAACTGACATATAGCTGAGTACTAGTAGAACACGGAATTTTTGTCGACAAAATGCACCACGACAGAAAAATGGATGAGAACCATTGCTTTAGCCTTTATAAAAGATGCATTGCCCATTTAGAAGAGACATATGATTTTTAGAAATAGCGAAGCGTTTTTAAAAGAAATATATAGTCTTCTTAAATTTGGCTCGACCTTTATGAATGTGGAGTAGAATTTATTGAAGCGACATAGTGAGCGTATAATTGACACAACATTTTCTAGAAGGATCCATCACAACTGCTCTCGCTTGGAAAAGTACACTGAAACATAGGTTTATTTTGATTATTGCAAAATATTCTCCAAGTACTTCAAACTTTAATGCTGCATACCTGACATGAGCATACTACGGCCCGCGGGCCAAATCCAACCCGCTGGGTAAATCAATCTGGTTCGCCTGATGCTGCCACAACCATACTAAAAACAAATTTTGATGTTTAGCTGAAAAATAGCTCAAGAAATTCATTGAGATTACGATTAAATTTGTTTTTTGCCACGAGGCTTATTATTTTCCACATTTGCTTTGTAAATATTGTTCACAAAAAGTAACTTTTTACGTCACACTTACATGGCCCGCCAGTTTAGGTGGGAAAAATTGTTGGCCCCTGTTGCAAAAACCTTGCCCACTCCTGCTGTATACTGTAATATGATCCAATTTTCAGTCCACAATTCTCAGGTGAACAAATAGGTTTCATTCTCTGATTTTTACTTCCACGAAATTTATTGACTAATTATGAGGCAATTTCAAGATATCAAGACTTTGCATCGTATAATAAATAATCATGTCGCGCAGTTTTGTATCTCAATCAGATAAGAAGTATCGCCTAACATTACTACTGGATAAACATTGGCAACGCAGAATAATTAGTTATTTGCAATATTCTATTGTTAAGGAAATCGCAATGAATTATAAATTTAACTTTCTGAAAGCATTTAAAAGCAATAGCAAAGGTGCGCTTACTTACACTACCGCGCAATTTCGCACGGACAAAACCCATTCACTGGCGACATTACATTTTTAGAAAAGACACAAACGTTTTCTAAAGGGTGGTTAATTTCAAGGGGTTTTTCCTTATAAAGATGCGCAGAATTTTTTTTTTAAAAGACATAGCTTATTTGGAAATAAC